CCAGATCTCCAAAAGACCTTCAATCAGATCTCCAAAGGCTCTTAACTTGCTCTCCGAAGGACCTTCAACCAGATCTCCAAAAGACCTTCAATCAGATCTCCAAAGGCTCTTAACTTGCTCTCCGAAGGACCTTCAACCAGATCGTCAAAGGACTTTCAATTAGATCTCCAAAAAAAACCTTTAACCAGATCTCCAAAGGCTCTTAACTTGCTCTTGAAATGACCTTCAACCAGATCTCCAAAGGCCCTTCAATTAGATCTCCAGAAAAAAAATTTTAACCAGATCTCCAAAGGATCTTAACTTGCTCTCCAAGGACTTTCAACCAGATTTCCAAAAGATTTTAAACCAGATCTCCAAAGGACCTCCAACCAGTTTCTCCCGAGGATCTTAAACTAAACCTCCAAGGACTTTCAATCAGATTTCCAAAGGACCTTCAGCCGGGTCTTCAAAAGATCTTCAGCCAGAACTCCAATCAAACCTTCAATCAGATCTCCCAAGGATCTTCAACTCAGGTTCTCTTCCTCCAGAAAAGCAGGAGGTCCTTCTCTAGTAGCCACAAAGATGAAGGGTGCAGTTTTGGAATCCTCTTCTGGACTCAAGCAATAAATATACCGCCTCCCCTAATCTTGGTGGAACGGGTCGTTCTCCATCCAGCAAAAAACTATTTTCTCTCTTTCCGTAGCAAAAGCCTCTTTTGGGGGGGCTGGGGGGAACCCTGGTCTTCCAAGAAGTTGAACCAGGACAGAGTCAAGTTCTACTTGAGCTCCAGGTTAAAGTGTGACAGCACCAGACGGATGGAAGTGTGAAAAAGGACACCGAGGGAGCCAACTCCTGGTGTGACTTTTCAACCCAAAGAGCAACTTCACGCAAGAGATGAAGCCTCTTGACGGTGGGGTTGGGTGTATCATTCACACGGCAGTTGTTAGAGATTAACTGCGCTTGGAGGAGGTCCAAGGTCTTTTGGTGGTCATGGAGAACTTTGGAGGAAGCCGCAGAGATGCCTCCTGACCACCACGACGGAGTTTTGCAAGGAAAAAAATGGAGGAGGGAAGACCTTTCAGCCGTGTTTCTTGTTGACCTATCAAATCATCTGGAGAGGAAGAACATTTTCATAAAGTCACCCCCCCCCCATCTCTGGGCTCCGGCGTCGTAAAGCAGGGCTCTCCAAATTTGGCAGCTTTGTGGACTTCCAACTCCCAGAATTCCCCAGCCAGTATGGCGAGCTGGCTAGGGGTTTCCGGGAGTTGAAGGCCCACAAGTCTTGGGAAGCTGCTAAAACTTCAGAGGTTTGAAGCAAGTAGACATCTGCCTTATAGTCTGAGTGGCATGGAAGATTTGGCCCCTTTCAGAAACAGGGGTGGCCTGGGGTGGGTGGAAGCAGAGGTGGGCTCCTACCAGTAGTGGTATGCCAGCCTGGATCGCAGAACCGGCAGCGACCCAGGCTGGCCATGCCCCAAACCAATTCCCCGGTCACTGCAATCTTTTTTTTTAGTTCTGCACATGCGCTGAACAATTTCCATTGAACTGCACATGCGCGAACCGGAAGTAACACTGGCTGAAACTCACCCCTGCTTCCTTCCTTCCTTCCTTCCTCCCTCCCTCCCTCTTCCTTCCTTCCCTCCTTCCTTCCTGCTTCCCTTTCTCCTTTCCTCCCGCCTTTTATTTTATCTTTTTTTCACACTTCAAAACCAACCAGTGCCCTTCCCCTCCCTTTCCTTCCTTCTTTCCTTCCTTTCTTCATTCATCCATCTGTCTCTTCTTCCCCCTTCCTTTTCCTTCCTTCCTTCCTTCATCCCTCCCTCCCTCTTCCTTCCTTCCTTCCCTCCTTCCTTCCTACCTCCCTCCCTTTTCTTCCTGCTTCCCTTCCTCCTGTCCTCTGTCCCTCCTTTTATTTTATCTTATTTTTCACACTTCAAAACCAACCAGTGCCCTTCCTCTCCCTTTCCTTCCTTCCTTCTTTCCTTCCTTTCTTCATTCATCCATCTCCCCCCTTTCTTCATTCATCCCTCCCTCCCTCTTCCTTCCTTCCTTCCTTCCTTCCCTCCTTCCTTCCTTCCTNCTGCCTAGGCAGGAAACCCTATACCATTTCAGACAAATGGCTATCCAACATCTTCTTAAAGACTTCCAGTGTTGGTTCCAGTGTTGATTGATTAGTTTCCACCCATTGCTTCTTGTCCTGCTCTCGGGTGCTTTGGAGAAAAGCTTGACTCCCTCTTCTTTGTGGCAGCCCCTGAGATATTGGAACACGAATCTGTTGCATTTAGACTTACATACTGCTTCATGGGGCTTATGCAACCCCCTTTAAGTGGGTTTACAGTGTCAGCATATTGCCCCCAACAATCTGGGTCCTCATTTTACTGATCTTGGAAGGATGGAAAGCTGACTCAACCTTGAGCCAGCAAGGATCAAACCCTTGGCCGTCAGCAGATTTAGCCTGCAAGACTGCATTCTATAAGAGACGCAGTGGTTCAGTGGCTGACCCTGAGCTTGTCGATCAGAAAGGTTGGCAGTTCAGCGGTTCGAATCCCTAGTGTCGTGCAACTGAGTGAGCTCCTGTTACTTGCTCCAGTTTCTGCCAACCTAGCAGTTCAAAACATGTAGGAAAATAGGGGCCATCTTTGGTGGGAAGGGAACAGCGTTACGTGCGCCTTTGGCGTTTAGTCATGGCCAGCCACATGACCATGGAGACCTCAACGGACAGCTCTGGCTCTTCGGTTTTGAAATGGAGATGAGCAACGCCCCCTAGAGTTGGGAATGACAAGCACATATGTGAGAGGGGAACCTTTACTTTTATCTGTACTGCATTCTGATTATTGTGCCACCATGGGCCCTAATATTGTTTAGGAATTGGAACTAACTTATTTTATTTTATTTTATTTCATTTTTACCTCACCTTTGTTATTCTTACAAATAACAATCCAAGGAGGCAAAAATATCCAACACGCCTTCCTCCTCTCTTAAAACCACCACCCTGTGAGGTGCGTTGGGCTGAGGGAGTGAGTCAATGGCCCAAAGTCACCAAAGCTGGTTTTTACGCCTTAAGGTGGGAGTAGAACTCACAGTCGCCTGGTGATCAGCCCAAAGTCACCCAGCTGGTTTTCATGGCTAAGGCAGGACTTGAACTCAAGTTCTCCTGCTTTCTAGCCTAGTTCCTCCACCACTTGGTTCTCCAGATTAGCTAAGGAATGATGCTGGTTGAATTCCCCCATATTGAGAAGACAGTGAACTGAGAAAGGCTGATTTAACAAAGCTATTTTCTTCCTTAATTTTTTTTTGGGGTGGTGGTGGTAAGAGTTAACTATGTCTTATTTCTCAGCTGAGGATACTCTTGTAGTGTACCGTATATAGGTACTATTGACTTACCACGATTCACTTAGTGACCATTCAAAGTTACAATGGCACTGAAAAATGTGACCTGTGACCATTTTTCACAATTACGACCTTCCCATGCGATCACAACCCAGATGCTTGGCAACTAGTTCATCCTTATGACCATTGCTGTGTATCCAAGGTCATGTGATCTCCTTTTGCGACCTTCTGACAAGCCAATACAATACAATACAATAGCAGGGTTGGAAGGAACCTTGGAGGTCTTCTAGTCCAACCCCCTGCCTAGGCAGGAAACCCTATACCGTTTCAGACAAAATGTCTATCCAACATCTTCTTAAAGACTTCCAGTGTTGGGGCATTCACAACTTCTGGAGGCAANCCTCTAAATCTGTTGGCTTTAGAATAGAATGACAAGAGTTGGAAGAGACCTTGGAGGCTTTCTAGTCCAACCCCCTGCTTAGGGAGGAAACTCTACACCACTTCAGACAAATGGCTATCCAATATCTTCTTAAAGACTTCCAGTGTTGGGGCATTCACAACTTCTGGAGGCAACTTCTGTTCCACTGATTAATTGTTTTCGCTGTCAGGAAATTTCTCCTCCGTCCTAAGTTGCTTCTCTCCTTGATTGCTTCTTGTTCTACCCTCGGTGCCTTGGAGAATGTTTGACTCCTTCTTCTTTGTGGCAACCCATGAGACATTGGAAGACTGCTATTATGTCTCCCCTGGTCCTTCTTTTCATTAAACTAGACATACCCAGTTCCTGCAACCATTCTTCATTCCGCCCTTTTAATATTCCGCCCTTTTAATATTTCCTAAAATATCTCATTTTTCCTAGGAGAGGAGTGGGTGCTAACTTCCTACAAATCTCACAGGGTCACATTTATGGGGAAAATCGGAGGAGGAAGGCAGCTTCGATATGTGTTATTTGTAAAAATAATAAAAGTGGGATGCCAAAAAATAATTAGGAATTGCAAGAATTGGGTATATGTCTACTATAATGAAAATAAGGAATGGGAGTGATGTTATAGCAGTGTTCCAATATTTGAGGGGCTGCCATAAAGAAGACAAATGGCTATCCGACATCTTCTTAAAGACTTCCAGTGTTGGGGCATTCACAACTTCTGGAGGCAACTTCTGTTCCACTAATTGATTGTTCTAACTGTCAGGAAATTTCTCCTCAGTTCTAAGTTGCTTCTCTCCTTGATTATAATACAATACAATATAATAGCAGAGTTGGAAGGGACCTTGGAGGTCTTCTAGTCCAACCCTCTGCCTAGGCAGGAAACCCTATGCCATTTCAGACAAATGGCTATCCAACATCTTCTTAAAGACTTCCAGTGTTGGNGACATCTTCAAGTTGCCAAGGTTGGGAAACACTGTCTTAGTGTACCAAGAACTTTTCAGATTCTGCATCTTAAAACTCTTTCAGGAGGCCTTAGTGAAATTCCTCCAATTTCATCCTGTGTGAATCTAGCCAATTTCTCAGAATTGGTTCCTTTTCAGAGTAACGATCCTGTAAGCATTCCTTATACTGGATACAGTGTAGAGTCAGCTGTCAGCTTCCTCCCAGAATGCAGCACAAAATACATTGCTTTTTTTCCCTGCCACTCTGGAATTCCTGGGAACCTCAACTCCCTCGAGTAGGATGTTCCCAACTGGAAACGTGATCAGAACCTGAGAGAAGGAGGCATTGATTTTGGCTTGAATAATTGTCAAAGCCTAGGTTCTGGGTGTCCCTAGTTCCCTGTGAACTCCTAGCCAATCAGATGGAAAGAGAAAATGATGAACAAGAGAAGCAGGGGTTAATCACAGGAGCGAGGATACTCACAGCATTCTTCGGGATTTTCATCAGAATTGTCACCACAGTCATCCTCACCATCACATTTCCAGGCCAGTGGCTTGCACAGAGTGTTGTTACACTGGAACTCATCAAGAGGGCAAGTCCGTACTACAAAGAAGCCACAAAAGCATGTAGGTTATCCCACCTAAGTTGTGAGTAGTATCAAAGTATATAAAAAAGCAATGATAAGTTCCACAACCAGGAATCCACACATACCACCAGATCCAGGATAATATTATGTGTGGCATCCTTGCATGGCTGCATAGGCCTCAGTATCCTAACAGAGATTATTGTAGGTACATGGCCTGCCCTCCACTTAGACCAGTGTTTCTCAATCTCAGTATGTTCAAGATGTATGAACTTCAACTCCCAGAATTCCCTAGTCATCATCTTTTGGTCAAGAGCTGTTTAGAGACTCCCTCACCCGCACCCATCCCATAGAGATAAAACAGATCTGGGTATTGGGATTTGACCCCTAGTTTTGGAGTCCACTCTTCCAAGGAAGGAAATTATGGTTGCCATTACCTCTTGTGCCACAGTCTTCCTCATCACTGCCATCCATGCAATCGGCATCGGCATCACAACGCCATCGCAGTGGGATGCAGTGGCCACTCTTGCAGTGGAACTGGTCTTGTTCACAGCGTGGCTTGCATTCTTTCTGTGGAGGAACAAGGTTTGGAGGCCTTTCAGGTCAGAGAGCAGAGATCTAGTATTGAGTAAGTTATTGCTCTGTCTGAATCAATAATGCTTTGCTAAACAGCCCAGGTTGTTGAGTCTTAATATCATAATAATTGCAATAGGACTTTCAGAATACAACATTACCATATGGGATTACACAGGAAGGGAACAAAAAATGCAAAATTAAGTGGATGTCATATAAAATCAAAATATGATTTTTCCTTTCTTAGAATAAAATGATTTATCTAATTTCTAAAAACGCTACTTCCATCAAAGCTTCCTTATTGTTTTTTCCCAACAGTTACGTATACTGTTATTCAGTAACTCATGTTTACACTTCCAGTTGTTTTTCCTAATATGCACACCAAACCGACCCATGTTTTTTCATCTACAAAAAAATCTTTTAAACTTAGGCTATGCTGATCCCAGCACTCAAGTAAAATTCTGTTTACTTCTAACAAGACCATTTCACCCACCCCACCCCCCATTAAATGCTAATCATATATGAAAGCTACAATTTTCCTAAACATTTGATCCATCTCTACAAAGACTATGGAACACGGGTGTCAAACTCGCTGTGTCGCTTTGCCGTCATGTGATGCTTCGCGACGTTTTTCCCATTTGTGGAGCTGGGGTGGATGTGGCCTGAGCGTGACGCATCCAGCCTTCATGCCACCAGTTTGACACCCCTGCTATAGAAGTTATACTCAAAACACTTTTGGATAGTTTCAAGGTGACGAGGGCTTCTGTAAGAATTCAAGCCAAAGACCAGGAGCTGGTTGTGAAAGCTGCTGCATTTTAATCATAGCTTCTTTCTGCCCACTTTCCACCCTTGGGCCTTACCTCATCAGAGCCATCAGCACAATCATGGTCACCATCACACTTCCAACGGCCTGCGATGCAACGGCCATTGGCACAAGAGAACTCACTTTCGGAGCAAGGCCTGGGCTCTGTAAGCAGAGAAAGCAGAGAGGGACATGAGCTGGAAGGCTTTGACACACCTGTAAAGAGTTGTGGCTACTCTACAATTCACACACATCAATATCATTGCTTATGGTATTGATAGGCATAAGTAGCCTGATTATTGTAACACAGAACCTTCTTAGTTTCAGTTTGACTAGAAACAGAAGAGGAGAAGCCAAAAGAAAGGTTGGGGTGGGAGTAAAGAGGTAGCAAGATTTCTGAGTTTATCAACCACATTATCCACAATAGTCACCTTGCGGCGAGATGGGCAACAAACAAATTTAATAAAGTACAGAAAACAGGAACAGCTTCAAGTTTTTTTGTCTCTGCTAACAATTAGGAGAGTAAACTTCAGGACTGGGGAATATGCTTTGTTTTTAAATAGAGATCCATAAAAGAGAACCTTATGCAGGATAGGGAATGCACTTAAAGCATGGACATATTCAGTTTAAGAGCTAGTTTCAAATACGACTGAAGTCACACCCTTTCACATAATATCCACATCTGCCTTTATCCTACTTTTGTTTTCAATGCATGTGAGAAAGTGAGATTGTTCTGCTACTTGTTATACAAATGAGAGCAAGAGACACTTATGAAATTACTGCAAATCAACCAGAGTTCTAGCAGAAGATTGCAATCCACCTTCTGTCCACTCCTAATTTAGAGATCCTCAGTGGGAGATTCAACACCATGATTGAAAGTTTCTTGAGTGTTTCCTTGTCTCCCTGCCTCATAAAAAAGTTAATGTGCAAAGAATCCCATAGATTTACAGAGCCAAGCAGATACCATTTTCACTTTCAACTTAGTTATTATCTTATTGGGGTATTTTGTTGTTTTCACTGCCACTGCTATAATTGCTTGCAGCATAGGAAATTGAATTTGAGAGAGGCAATTTCTACAGTAGTATCAGGGGTGGGCTGCTGAGAACCTGTAGCTAATGTTATGGCTGGTTCGGAGAACCTCCAAATTCCACCCCTGGCTGGCCCCGCCCTCACCACCCTGCCCCTCCCCTTTCAGGAGTCTTCATGCGGCCCGTTTTGGATGCAAGACTTGGGGAGGGGGAAAAATTGGCCTCCTGGAAGTTCTGGAAAACTGCCTGCCCCGGGCTCTGGAGGTGCTCCGGAGGCCGGAAACGGGCCCATTTCCAGCCTCCAGAGAAGACAGTTTTCGCCCTCTCAGAGGTTTCGGGAAAGATTCCAGAGCCTGGGGAAGGAGAACACACACACACACACCGCTGTGGTGCAGGAGGCTGACTAGGCCATGCCACCAGGGCCATGCCCACCCAGTATCGGGCAGAGAACCCATTGCTGAAATTTTTGAAGCCCACCCCTGAGTAGTATCATCTTTATGGATAGAAAGTGAATCTTCAGAGTTTCAGAAAACAAGTCTATAATGCAATTTCCTAAAGTCTTTCCAAATGGAGGTGTTAGGACTGAACCAATGGTAATCACTGATTGTCCCGATATGGTAACCACTGATTGTCCAATGTTTTCCGTGTGACAATTGGCTGCTTCAATCTTGGGCTCTTTCTCAAAACACTTCATACAATAAAGGAAGGGATAATAGAGTTATTAAGCAGTAAGACAGTTCTGCCTGGTTTGTGTAGGTAGGAGAATCAACTTGAAAAAGAAATAGATCTCCAGCAAGCATCACATAGACAAACCTCCATTAAATTCCTGCAAAAGGAATAGAGAGGCAATGCATGGGAATATAGATGAAACCTCCAAATAATCTTTCCCCCAGTCCTTTCAACACAATTAAAAGTTTTAAAGGGGAAGGGAAACATTTTTGACAGAAACCTACCTCTGCAAGCCCCGATACGACAGTATGAAAATGGAGAAAAACATAAGATGAAGTGAAATGGCACAAACTCAAATTACACACTATGTGGTAAGGAACAAACCAAAAGAAGAAGCAAAGTCATGTTCTATCATCTACAGGAGTTGAGGGGGGGGGGGGAAGAGAGAGAGAGAGGTGATGTATTTTATGAGCTATTTTAAAAGATTTAACATTGTTGCTGGAGGCCTGGCTTCATTACAACATCCAAAGGTCCTATGAAAGCATTACTTTGTGACAGAGAGCCGAGGTGGCGCACTGGTTAGAGTGCAGCACTGCAGGCTATTTCAGCTGACTGCAATTCGGCAGTTCGGCTGTTCAAATCTCACTGGCTCAAGGTTGACTCAGCCTTCCATCCTTCCGAGGTGGGTGAAATGAGGACCCGGATTGTTGGGGGCAATATGCTGACTCNTGGCTCAAAGTCACCCAGCTGGCATTCATGGGAAGGAAGGATCTCACAATCTCGTTTTCTAGGCCAGCATCTTCACCCCTAGACCAAACTGGCTGTTAGTTTCTTTCACAAATGAATGTTTCACAATATTGCAAAAACAATTCTCTTCAGGTGCATTTCAAAACTGAAGACCCAAATATTTAAAGCTCCTTTGAAAGCACCTTCCGATAAACACAAGAATTGCTTATTTCTCCAGTTTGCGAGCAGGTAGCTGAAGTCAGATACATTGATATTAGCTGTGTCATATAACGTTTAATTTATTCAACAGTCCTCAAATATCCTTTCATCACTTCCTTTAGCTAACATTTATCCCTTTTAAAAATAAATCATTTTAGAATACAGTATGAATCTTGAAGTGTGCTTGAAAACTTGGCGAACCAAGCCTTTACTTTTGCACAAACAAGCAATATTAAATGCTCACTTGCTATGTCTGGTTTAACAACAGTGATGAATTCCCTGCTTTGTGAAACATGAAATCCACTTTTCATTTGAAGGATAAAAAGATGCAGGCTTTCTCTCTTTGTTTCAAACGCTTTTCAGACCATCAATTCAATTTCTGATAGTGTGGATACATGGCGTCATAACATTATCTGAAATTTATCTGAACATTTCATCGTTTAGCTAGTCCGCAACTTACGATCACAATTGGGACTGAGAGTTGTGTTGCTAAGTGATGCAAAGTTGTTAATGCAAATTTATTACCTTTGTTGCAGTGGCCATTAAGCAAATCACGAGTCGTTAAGTGAATCCAGCTTTCTCCATTGACTTTGCTTGTCAGAAGCCCCCTGGAAAAAGTTGCAAATGGGAATCACATGAGCCTGAGACATTGTGACCATCATAAATACTTGCTGGTTGTCAAGTGCCTGAAGTTTGACAGCGATGGTTATATATGCAAAGGCCAATCATAAGTCAGTGTTCTGTTCTGACCCCCTCCTCCGTCCAGTAACAAATGCCGAGACAAGCTTAACTGGAATTTCACAGCACTTTAATTAACAGGAAACATAAACCTCGGTGGCTGAAAGCCAAGCATAACAGACAGAAAGGCCCTTGGCAGCAAACCAGTACAGATAAGCCTTGGCAGCAATCCAGCCTGCCAAGCTCACAATAATGTTCTCCAACATTAGTTCCTGCGTTGACTTCTGCAAAAGGGCGTGTGCACAAGCAGTCCTTTTCTAGTCTGGAGAGGAGCCTAATGACCACCAGCTGAGTGCAATTATCTCCTGTAACAAGCAACTGTTCCT